GAAATAATAGGAGTACAAAATAACTCTCACTATTTTCTCTTTTCTCTCTAGCCTGGCTCACTGATAATTTCTTCCACATCTCTCTTCTTTCCCTTCTCTTCTTTTCCTCCGTAACTCATATTCTTTCCTCTGTATGTTTTTCTCTCATCTCCTTCTTCTTCTTCTCACTTCTTCCTTCCTCCGTATGCTCTCATCTTATAGGTAAAAGATTACTATAACAATACTATTCACTTTACAAACTTTCCTAAAATGAATAGTGAAATATTGTGCATGAATAGTAACCCATCCATTTTTTCTTCACATGAATACTAATCCTTCTGCTTTTCCTTTGGAAGAGTAGTAATGAACATATTATATTATAACACTCTCCCTTGGATGGCCATATGTCAATTTCGGTTGTCTCGTTAAAACCTTAACATGTTTTGGATGCTCCCCTGATGAGTATCTCCTCCTGATTTCAAATTCTTTAATCTGACTAATACTATGTTGCTGTAATCTGATACTATTTATGATAGTTGGAGTGTTTACTTCTGAAGGCGGTTCACATGTGCTCCAAATTTTAATGGCCACAGGTTTTAACCAAACTCATGTATTTCTGAGAGATATGAAGATGTGGCAGCAATGAATGTTGCTTCCTTGATCGTTGTAGGATCAATTTATTTTCATATGTAAATACAAATCATTTCTGAGAGCGATTTATGTGCAGGCTAGAGAGATATTCAGATTTTTGCTTGCCTAATAAGATCATGGCAATTAGTGAGTTCTTTGGAATAGAATAAGCATATGTCTATAATTTCTTGGAGTTATCAAAAGATAAACTTTACTTCATTCTAATACCATATGTTGGTATTATGCTTCACAGGAAATGTAACAACTGACTCAGTGTATTGTACTAAATACAGTAAGGCACATACCTCACTAAAATATGGTACTTCTGGACCAAATATCAATTCATAATTTCCCTCACGAGGATGAATGATCTTTCTTAGTGTCTAAATATTGGTTAATCATTTGAGTATTCAACTCATAATCTTCAATCCATATGGTTTTTTAAAACCATAAACATTTTGGATAAGATTTGTGTTGGCATATTGTTCAAACTGCTGCTCAAGACAATATTCCTTTCAACACTTTATAATATTTCTGGACTCTTCAAGAGTTCCAATCTAATATCAACTCTTGCAAGAGATTCAATGTGTTGCAACAATATCATAATGAAAGTACTCATTAAGGCAATTTATACCCCTCATTGGTATTAAGTACATAATTTATGTTTTACCCTTCCAGGGCTTTCTTCAAGCAATTTGAATCCTTCAGGGATTTTCTACACTTCATGACACATTCTCCTTTGGAATTTATACATAGCAACTTGTATCCATGTATACTTGAGGGATTTACTTGTGGAGATATGCTTTGGGCATGTATAATTCTCCACTGAAATGAACAAGCTTCACAATGAGAAATCATGTTTCCAGTATGTATTACAATTTTAGGTTTCAATTAGAAACCTTGTGTCATATCATGTAAGTGTATTTCACTGTATTACAAATGCCCATATGTAACCTTCTGGGTTCAACATCATTTGGCAATTTGTACTATAGGTCCAAGTTTCCACTTTGGCCACTAATTTTTTGTCGACAAACAAAAGAACATAGCTCAATATCAACACAGCTCTTTGATGATTTTAGTAGCTACTATAAAACCAAAATTAACATTGGTAATCATCAATTCTTGTTCCCATAATTCTCATGTGCATGCGCATGCATATTTATAAGCATTTCATTACTCTGGATATCCTTGCCTCTTTAGGGGCTTTACATTGTCTCTTCTAGCACAGTCATCTCTTATTAGATGAATTGTTTGAGAATTTGGATCATAACCTCCTCTAGAGCTTTATAGAGCTTGGATTTTTAAACTCCACTTCTGGGGAGTTGAATCATTGGAATTTGGTACCTACACATCGATCATGCTTCAGGCATAAAATATATTAAAATTGTCGTGTCCATGGATTATCCCTTTTGGAACTTGAATCTATGTGGTTGCTGTCATGCTTCGGGCATGCAACAGTTCAGTAGTGCCAAGTCTGTGGATAGTCTGACTAAGACTTCAATCCATGCGGCAACTCTGTACATCATGTGAATGATATAGATTGGTAGTGTTTGCTAGGGTTGTAAGTAGGACTCCCATCATTGAACTTTGGTCTTCCATTCACTCAATCAACCACCAATTTTCTCCCTTTGGACTTCCATGGACATATCGTCGATCATTCTGCTTCAGTCTTTTACACAGTAAAAGCGATGCACAACCTTTGCCCTTGGATGGTCCATTACTTCTTGGTGACTCATCCATGATTCACAGCTTCAGTGTAAAGAGCCAATAGTGTACCAATTATTCTGCAATATTGGTGACTTGAGCCTGGCTCTAACAACAATTGAATATGACTATTCGAGAGCAATGCAATGTAAGTAATCAGGGAAAAGTTCCAGGCAGTCGGTTCCTGACCAGAAGTTTGATTTCAGATTCTGACTGATTGCTTTCTTTATCCTTGTCTTGTAGGCAAGAGCAAAGGCAAAGGAAACGACAAGGAAAAAGCATAATATAAGATACTCTTACTCTTGACCTTGATAATATGAAATACTTTTTCTCTTGAAGGAAAAAGTATAAGATTTTGATGCTGGTGTAAACCTTTTCGATCGAAAGGGGTTTCTTGCTGAGAAAATGAGTTTGGCATTTTGAGGGACTTGGTTGAAAAGGTATTCTCAGAGATAATGAAGACTGAATATGTTGAGAGGTTTTGTTGCAGATGCATTCTCGGCAAGGAAGATGAGTTAGGTTTTTTGGAGGTGTGCCTTGCCATAGAGGACTAAAGTCGACATATATAGGGATTTCCCAATAGCAGGTAGTGGTGTGAATGTGGCCTTGTCACCCACGCTTGTTGGCAACAGTGGTGTAGTTGGAATAGTGAACTTTACGCGTTTTAACTTTGCTAGAGATATTTTGACAGAGTTGTCCATGATATCCAGAAAACTGAGATTGTGTTTGAGAAATGTTGACAAACTTTATTCAGGAAAATCCAGCTTTTGAAATTCGGAGAGCGGTGTTTCTTTGATTTTTTAACAAGTGGTTGTGTTACCTCTCCTTTTATAGAGGTATCAATTGTATTCAAAATGCACACTTTGAAAATTGTCCACCTGTGAAAATTGTCTCTGTTGTATTTCTGATATTTCACTCTATCCAACCTTTTTCTTTCATTATTTCAGAAAATGGCTTGCCCATCCAACCTTTACTTAGATTTGAGTCTTGGAGGAGATACACACGAGCAGAGTCAGGATAATATATGGTGTCCATCCTTTTTATCTTCTAATGGCCCTATTACGGTTGGAGCCTCTGTGATGAGGGATGATAAAATGGCTATAGTAATAGCTAGGAACCTTCTCACTCCTATAAATAAAAGAATACTTTTAAAGAGGTCTGATGAATTGATTGTTCAAGACTCTTTAGTTTTCAGTGTTCAATGTGCGGGTTCTGTATCCAACATGAGTCAACGCTTACTTGCTCAAACTCGCCAAGTTGAAACATTAATGGCTGAGGTGGCAAGTTTTAGAAAAGAGATTAAAAGTCTCAAGCACGAGAATAAAGAGTTGCACAAACTTGCAAATATTTATTCAACAAGCATGAAAAGAAAGCTCGACCAGCTGCAGGAATTCGAAAGTCGGATTCAAAGTGATCACCAGAAATTCGTGGCTAGATTCCGAAGGCAACTGTTGTCTTCCCCTTATGGTGTTTTTCCAAGTACTGAGGCGTCACATGATCAATCTCCAGTGCCTCTCCCTTCTGGGGTATTGCCAAGTATTGAGTTTTCACATGAGCAACATTTATGAAGGCCCTCCCATTTGTTTGTTTTTGTAGTTGTAACTCATGTGTATGTATAAATTTTTTTTTTCCAATTTGATTTTATACATGTCTGAAAGCTTTAGCTTGTTATATATAGGAACCCGTGGAAACTTCTGGTTCCATAATTAATGAATTAATGAAGAGAGGATGGAAACTTTTGGTTCCATGAATATGATTCAATGAGCCATTAAATATAGATGTTTTCTAATATCATATGCTTCCACATGCATTCTCGGGCATTATGAATTCATGAAAGTATATTTTGTGTAAGATGTTGATGGTCACACAATTGGGTTTTGCTAAGTTCATAATTTTCTTATTCCCAAAAGGAAGAAATTCAAATATGACAGAAATTGTGATAATTAATTCATACCACATATAACACATGTCTACACAAAATGTTAGAACTTCAAGTTCTTGTTTTTGTTTTTTTTTTTTTAAATTTTAAATATTGGAAATATTTTAACATCACATGTAGGTGAGACTTCAATAAAAACAGTACAATTTGGACCTGCGAAATTACATTATTGCCCATCATTTTTTTTTTGTGATAGAAGACTAAATAGTCTTTTCACCCTCTTTTGGTTGACAAAGAGAGTTTCATTAATTAGTAGAGATTTTGAACTTCAGGTCAACATTATTCATATGTAATCGAAATTTATTCTCAAAATCGACATCATTAGAACCTTTAGGTTCATATTTTGGAATTCATGCCCATACTTCATCTGTACATGGATTAAGGAACTGATGATCCTCATTTACATGAATCAAGGAACTTTTGGCCCTCATTTATTAGTTTGTGGACTAAGGCACCTGTGGCCATCTTTTAATTTAGTTGAGGAATTGCTGCTCTCTCAACTGATTCAAAAATTTCAGGTTTTGATTTGATCAAGGAACTTTGGATCCAATCCTTTTTATATAATGATGATCAAGGAACTTCAGGTCTGATCTTTTTTAATGGTGGAACTTCAGGTCCAATCATTTTATATGATGAGGATCAAGAAACTTCAGGTTCTAATCTGATCAAGGAACTTCGTCCTTTTATATACTCATCATAAAATGTAGTACACTAAATAAATTAAAGCAATAGACAGTAATTCCAGCCATGGTAAATAAATTGATTTTACGTAAATAAAGCTTGTGACAAGATCGAAGCTTTAAAGTAAGGGTAATAATTCCAACCACCATAAATAAATAGAACTTGTGATAGCTTTAAACCAGCATCATTCACATAAATATGTCAAAACAGAAAAGGCAATGATTAAGTCTCCATCTTTCTTTTTTTTCTTGTTTTTTCTTTGTTAGCCACTTTCTTTTGTTTCATCCTTTTTATTTTATTTTCATTTCACAGTTCTAAGTCATTTTAGTTACCCAGGAAGTAATAGTAACAATAAGTCCCAATTGGTGTTCCTCCTCCGGTGAGTTTCGAAAAAATTGAAACAGTTCCCATAAATTTTGGAGTCAAGAGTAGTGCCTGCAACTTATGAGAAGATCAAACAGTTAGATTTGGCTCCAATTTTAGTATGATATGGAAAGGAAGATACCGAACACCTTTCATGAATAAACAATTTCGATCTAATCTACTAAAAAATGAGTTTTGGTACTCATAAGATGGTTGTCCAGTTTTCTGTTGAATTAGAAACTGGGTTAGTGTTTCAAACATTTGCGATGATCACACCATTGGAACTTTTTGAAAATTTGATATGTTATATGTACTAGGCGGACAAATAACTTTCAAGAACGAAGTATCTCAATCCGAGGTCAACAAGTTGGAGTTCATAGGATGTTTACATGGTTGCCAGATTTTCTGCCAATAATAATGATAATAGTTATATAACCAAATGTATATTTACTTTAAGAAAATAAGTCATACAGAGATATGAAGATGAAATGAAAAGATTTTCTTATCTGTGAGATTTCAGCCGACAGAGGTGAGAGGTAGATCACCAGATTTATGGCGTTGTGCTTTCCAACAACACGAGAGCTTCTCGTGCTGATAACGTGTTGTAAAATCGACAATATATGTGTTGTGGAATAAAGTAAATAAGACACAATATTTACGAGGTTCGGCAAGTGTGCCTACGTCCTCGAGGCAGCAATAGTACTTTATTTCATTATCTGAAATAATAGGAGTACAAAATAACTGTCACTATTTTTTTTCTCTAACCTGGTTCACTGGTAATTTCTTCTGCATCTCTCTTCTTTCCTCTTCTCTTCCTTTTCCTCCATAACTCCTCTTTCTTTCCTATGTATGTTTTTCTCTTATCTCTTTCTTCTTCTTTTCACTTCTTCCTTCCTCCGTATGCTCTCATTTTATAGGCAAAAAATTATTATAGAAACACTATTCACTTAACAAATTTTCCTCAAATGAATAATGAAATACTATGCATGAATAGTAATCCATCATTTTTTCTTCATATGAATAATAATTCATCTGATTTTTCTTTGGATGAATAGTAACAAACTATTCATGTGAGTCATTCACATATTACAGTACAACAGGAATATTATTATTGATATTTTGTAAAAATAATTTTTACGGAATAAGCTATAATATTAACAGTTTTGATAATGAACTCAAAATTCTATAAATCCACCACGTGTATTGACGAAGAAATCAAGTTTTAACGTTTAATTCCTTTTTCGTATGAAGGCTCTATTGCCTTGGGCATGTAAATCCTTTTACACTTTGCAATTCACACCAAAAGGAGCGCGTCTACACGCTCTCCTCACACGGCATCAATGATTGTATGGAAGTTAACTCCACGCTCCTCGAGTGCGAGTATCAATTGTCAATCCACTTTCTCACCCCATCATATACGTTTTTCCATCATCAGCTCAGACACAACAAAATCCCCAAAACCAACCCACCCCAAAACTCACAGGGTTTTTCAGAATAATACCAATCTCTTTCAATGGCGGACACCACCGCAGAAGTAGAGCAAGAAACGCCGCCACCGCCATCATCATGCTACTCGGTGATTCTGAGAATTATGAGCAAAAGGAGAACATGGGTATGTATATTCGTGCTAGTGTACGCCATCCTCCTGACTTCTTCGTGGAACTTCCTCAAATCCTTGCTCTCCTGGTACAAATTGCAACCCCAGTCGTCTTCGTCGTCGTACGGATGGCCTGCCCTTTACGCCTCGGTGCTTCTGGGGGTGGTATTCGGGCTGCTTTCGATGTTCGCGGCGCTTGCAGTGATGGTTCCGGCCACTCTGGTGACGTGGATCACCATCGTGGTTCTGCTGGCCTTCTTCGGGAAGCCGAGGAGGGCGTTGGTGGTGGAAGGGAGGAAGATTACGAGAGAGATTGTTGGGATTGTGATGAGGATTTTGTTGAAGGAAGGGAACTTGGTGGCTGCTGGTTGCGCTGTTTTGGGGTATTTTGCACTTTTTAGGAGGAATGGGAGTGAGGTGATTGACTGATTGCCTGATTTGGTTGTTGGGGTTTTGGATTTTGGTAAAGTTTTCTGCTTTCCCTATCTCCTCCCCCAATTTGAAGCCATTGTTTTGTAACTTTGTATGCTATTTTTACTATTTTACTTTCAACATCTCAGATTAGAAAGGGTAAAAATCTCTGACTCCCTCCCTGTGTTGTAACATTTACTTGTTTTGATTTTAGTTTGGTATCTGACTGTTAATTGTTGTGTGTGTGTATATATATATATATCATACATCCTTCCCAAATTTAGCAACTTTATGGCCAAATATATAACACAGAATTGGAGGTGTCAGTGTTATTGTGCGTGATGATGCCGGGGTTTTTGCAGCCGCAATGAGCAAATTTTCAAGATGTCTTATCTCCGTTGCTGGCGGAAGCCATGGCGATTAGAGGACCTTTTCGATTGAATGTGATTCGCTTCTGATTGTTTTGGCGTTGAGGGCCCTTTGGTTAACCTGTATCCGATGGGACAGATTATCGAAGACACGAAGTCCTTGCTCCCGACAATCACTGAAGTTACATGTACACCCATATCCGTCGCCAAGCCAACAATTTCGTTCATCGTTCGGTTCGTTATGGTCTAAGTGTAGATTACATTTGTGTATGTTCTGGTAATCCTCCTATTTTTGTTGTAGACACTTGATGAGGAGAATATATCCAAGTAATATGGCAGTCATCTCCGCCTTTTTGTAAACCACTTTTGATCTAATGAAACTTGTATCGATCTTTCATCCCCAAAAAAAAACAAAAGACTTATGCTGAAAAGTTGATTGTGGAAGGAAGCAAATGTATGAAGGCACAAATACAAGTTCGAATCTCTCGCTCTCTAGTTTTAGATTGGATTTGAATGTTGTTTGAATCAAAAAAATATTTCGAAAGCGAGCGACATGTAATGATGCATTGTGTTTAACTCTAGTGCCGGGAGCGTGTGAACTGGGACGTGGTGAGTTGAAGAAGAAGACCTTAACCTACACTAAGCGGTATTCTGTTGTCTTTTATTTGAGAGTTTTGGACGATGGAAGTTTGTTGTTCCTTTCTTCCCTTTGAAGGTTTATAACTTACAAGCTTCTCAAAACTTAACCAAGCCAGTCGTATAAAACTGGTTTTAGGAGGAGGTGGAGTTGAATACAGGCTATACGGTAACCAGCAGTCTCTGCTTGTTTGCTGTTTGGTTCCGGAAAAACTGAACCGACCGATTACCGAGAGATTACTACCGAATCGATAATTAGTGGAAAAGAAAATCGAAGTATTTGTGGAAATATATGAAACTAGAATCCAATTCAACAAGGTAAAAACTCTAATCCTTGGTGAAACGTAGTTGAACACTTTTCCAGTAAAAAAACAATTCACTGTAATCATACAAGTACAAACTTCACCCTTTGTGTTCGTAGAGGCGGTCCAGAGGCAAGGCGAACAAGGGATGTGCCTTGAGCCTCACCTTATTATATATCTTAAATTTTGAATGTTGTTATTGATACTCCGAAAGTCTCACTGTTTTTCTAGTGTATTTTTCTTCATACATAGAAAGTTTGGAGTGCAAAATGAAATTTATGGAGTGTCAATAACTGCAACCTAAAACTTTCATCATTCATTGTATTTTAGATTCCGAGGAAAGAGAAAAAAAAAATCTCTTATTCTCCTAAATTTAATCTGATGCATCTCAAATTTATATTCGAAAGGCCTCATTTCAATTTTGTCTTATGCCTTAAGATTGCATTAGGATGACTCTGTGTACTTGAGTACTTAGAAGATTGATTTTCTGCCCTTCATCTCCTCGAGATGGCATAACTTTGAAAGCTTTCGTCTATCATTTTGGAGCCCGAACTGTTATTACAGTTTAGAGTATCTCTAAAGGTTATATCAAACACGACAACTAAGACTAAAGGACATAGTTTTCACTATGGAAGATGCTATAATTGACATGGCAGCTAAGTTATTAGACTTCTTATTTTCCAGCAATCCCTTTTTACAGCAAATAAAGATGAGTCCATTTTGTTATTTAATGTGTGAGGTCTCATAATTCATAACTTTTAGATTTTTTTTTTATTAAAGACGGTAATAGTGGAGCCCAATATATAATAAAATAATAATTAAACACATTTCTTAGGATGAAAGAAATTTTGTGGGAAGTGTATAATAAAACTTTTAAAATTAACATGCGCGAGAACTCAATTGATCCTAACATTTTTCTCAACTTAAGCCGTTGGATCAAATTTTATGAGCCCAGATTGATTGATGAGGTGAATTTGGTGAAAGATTATTTCTCAAAAAAATAACCTTGTCATTTATATTAGGGAATTTTTTTTTTTTTTAAAAGGTTTGGGTTAAGTTTAATTTAATAAAAAAAATCATGCTATAACTTTATTTAATGAAAAAAAAAACTTAAATTTTAATGAAAACCCCTTAATTTTTAATAAAGGTACAAAATAGCTTAAATTTTAATGAAAATGACATAATTTTAATATTATAAAAAAAATAAAAAATAAAAAAATTGACGCTCCTGGATTCGCGCATCCATCACAGACACTATTTATGAAACAGTACTACATTGTTTATGAAATTTAACGGTACTATAGTATTTATGAAACTGCGGTACTATATTATTTATGAAACTAAACGGTACTACACTATTTATTGTCCAGATTCATAAATGGTGTCTAGTTCTTGGTTCACTTTTGTAAATAGTACTTAGTTATTGGGTCATGTTTTATAAATAGTGTATAATAATTTGTACAGTTTCATAAATAGTGTCACATTCTTGATCTAGTTTCATCAATAATGCTTAGTTCTTGATCCACTTTCATATATAATGCCTCGTCCTTGGTCATGTTTCATAAATAGTGTCTAATTATTGTCCAGTTTCATAAATAGTGTATAGTAATTGATACAGTTTCATAAATAGTGTCTAATTATTGTCCAGTTTCATAAATAGTATATAGTAATTGATACAGTTTCATAAATATTGTCACTTTCTTGCCCTAATTTCATAAATAATGTCTCTTTTTTTTATCCAGTATTTGATTGTCATATCCCGGCCCGGGACGGACCACTTCCCGGGCCCGCTCTACCACCATAGCACAATATTGTCCGCTTTGAGTTTACCATTCTCTCACAATTTTGTTTTTTGGAAACTCACCACGTCTTGATTCTAGGATCGGGATGTGTCATTGATATTGAACTCTTTCAATTTTTTATATTTTCTAATCAAACAAAGAACCAATTAGAACCGGATGTAATTGAAAATTCATATGGTTCACAACTCAAAGTTTTTGTTTTTGGAGTTCCTTATGTTATGTTCATGAACTCCACAAGTTCTGTCTACGAATGTTTTTTTATTTTCTTCCCAAAAACCCCCTTCTCCTGCAAGTTTTTTTTTATTTTTATGAATCCCCTTTCTCCTGCCATCAATCACTCTACATAAATATCTATTAATTAATAAAACATTTTTTGTCAACCAAAAGAGGATGAAAACTACTTAGTCTTCTATTACACAAAAAAAATGATGGATAATAATGTAATTTTACATGTTCAAGTTTTATTGTTTTTTATTGAAGGCTCATGTTAAAATACCTCCAATATTAAAACAAAAAACAAAAAACAAAAACCTCTTACTTCCCCCACGTTCTCTCTCTCTCTCCCTCTCTCCTTTTCATTTTCTAAAAAAAATATATTCATACACATAAAGTGCGTAAACAAATGCTAGTAATTTTTTTTAAAAGGTTGCGGCATACATTTTAAATGGATAAAAAACTCCATAGAAGCAAATACATAAGCTGGGAAAAAGCACCAGCACACCAAACCAAACAAAATCTAGGAAAAACGCTGTGCAATTGCACGCGCGTAGTTAGGTTTTTTTTGTTTTGCTTTGTTTTGTTTTTTTTTATCTTTATCATTAAATAAAATTATAGGATGATTTTTGGTTAAAATTCAAAGTTTTAAAGTTATTTTCATTAGTTTTTCTTTTTTATGAAAGTTCTATTAAAAGGTGGGTGAGGAAGAATGTTAAGAATAGTTCTCACCACACATGCCCACTTAGTAATTGGAATAAAAGTGTAAATTTGAGTTCAGAGAAGTTAATTAGAATAGCATACTTCATCTATTGTGTTTAAATTTGAGTTCTTTCTCATAATTTAGATTAACAAAAAAATGAATAAATTAATTAGGAGCAAACAAATAATTTTTTTTAAAATACAAATGATATTCCTACTTTAAACTACATTAGTAATAAATTTGAATCCAAAATAAAGAGAAGTGTTATTGGCACTCCAAAAATCTCATTCTACACTTCTCACAAGTGTATTTTTCTTTCTAAATATAGAAAGTTTGGAGTATAAAATGAAAATTTTGGAATACCAATAACAATTCCCAAAATAAAATGGGCGATAGAGAAAGATCTAACTACCCACCTGAGTAATCCAATACTCAACAAATATAATTTTAGCCAACGTAAGCACATTAAGTAGGAAGAAGTAAGGAATCATTCTTCCTTTTCTTTTTCCTCCTTTTGGTAAAGGAAAAGAACCTCCAACTACATTCTTGAACTCCAAGGACTTTTTCCAATGAGAGAACAAAGCATCTACCAACTCCATCATAAGAAACAAAGCATATAAAACATCTCTCTATTTGTCCTTCCTATAGGACAGCCTTGATATAAATATGATTAGAAATAATGCCTTGATAATTAACAGTCTTTCACTTTAGTCCCTAAATTGGTTTATTGTATTCTACAGTTCTCCAACAACTTCTTTAATGTCTCAATTTTGCCCTATCATCACTTTTTCGTTTAATTATATCTTCGGTTTGTTCGCAGTGTAAATATACTCATCTACTTGGTCTATTTTTTCACCCACCTATTAGTGTAATTATTTATGGCAAATACATATAAGGTGAATGGAAAAATAGAATAGGCGAGTGTTAATGTTAATGGTAGCACTCACTAACAATCTTAAACATTACGTAAAGAGTGTTAGGGGGTTAATGTACGTTACCAAAGATTGGAGATGTAAGGAGATTAAAAGAGAGCTAAAACAAACTATATTTGTGTTTAATCTCAATTTTCCCAAATTGTTTTCTTGTTTTTAGTACCAAAAATAGAAGAGAAGGCACTAGCTTGTGCTGCTAAACCTCATTTCGGCATATCTAACCGGCATTCGGACCGTTGCCACTTGCTTCGTTCATTATTTCCATTTGTTTAGATTTTGTTTGGTGTTGACCGCGGATTTCGGTGTCGTATTCAATATGAATTCTGAAAGATTTTAATTCTTTTAGTGGGTCTAAGAGTATTCAATTGGAATTTTAAGTGAATTTAATCTGTATTCAATTAAAATTTTAAGATCATTTATTTAAATTCTCATAGATTGAATATATTAAATTATGATTATAAAGAAGTTTATCATGTTTTACGTATATTCAATTAGGAATTTATTCAATTTTTTTTTTTTAAATTGAGGAATTTGAGAGAATTGAAAAGATTTTGTAGTCTAGTATAGGCATTCACAATCTCAGCTCTTCCTCTAAGATTTCGAGAGAATTGAATCAAAATTTTACATGAAATTTCTACAAATCAATTGAACTCCATCAAAATTCCTATATTTATAAATTTAATAAAATGAAAACTAATGAAAAGTCCAAAAAAACTTCCATTTTAATGAAAAACCCTTTTTAAAGGTATATTAAATAGTACCAGGAAAAAGTATAAATGTGTTTTTTCGTTAAAATTAAACAGTACCGAAGTGTTTTGTTAAAACTCTATTTAATAAAACCTTCAAAATCTCATTTAAATACACCAACATTTATGATATCAATTACTAAATTTTAACCAAATATAATGCAACTTGTACCTGACATTATATAATTAAGGGAGACATATTGTTAGTCCTCCTGCTTAGGTGTCATTTTTATCCCCTCCTATATTCTGTAGTTACGGTTAATCCACGTCAACATTTTATATTAATTTTTTTATAAAAAAAATAAAATAAAAAATAATAAGAATATAAAATGTTGACGTAACTTAATCGGGACAACATAAATAAAAAGAAATATGAAAAGCACCAAAACAGGAGGGTAGACAATCTCCCTCCATAATTAAGGGTGATGAGAAGACCGGGTCTGACATTCAGAAAACCGTGTCCTTGTTTATCGGAGGAATTGTGTCCAAAATTTGTTTATGCACTATTGCATTGGACTCTAAATATCTGGAGAGTTGACAACTTGACACCAACATTTTACAACTGTTTTGCTTATTATATTTTTTTCACTAGATTTTTTCACTAGATTAGACATTGACAGAATTTAAACTCACATCATCATGTAAGAACTCAACACCTTTCTACCACTGTAGTAAAGATTACTCGCAAACTTTTTCACTAGATTATTGATTTCAAAAATGGAAAGAGATCATCTCCGAATCTTTCTTACGAAAGCCCCCAGATCAAGTGATCGGCCCCTTGTAATTTAATCCAACAGCCCACTTGTTTTGATCCCTTAAAAATTATAATAAGTTTTTATCGTTAAATCAAATTTTAAAAGCCTGGATTACTTGATTCGAGACCTTTGGTAAGAGAGATCTGGAAAGATCTCTTTCCTTCAAATATTACCCATAATTGCGATTTCCCATACAATGCTTTTTGTTTTTTTTGAAAAATCAAAATTTAGGCACATGTCCAATTATGATTGGGTGTAAACAGCAGTTGCCGTTGAATTTGCAGCAACCAAGTCCAGTTCCTTTTTTTTTTAAATCCCTTTTAGCTGCTTTGATTTGGGAAACAAATTAATATTATAGGAAGCTTTTGTTTGGTAATTTCTAAATAGTTTGGTGTTGTGGATTCTTCAAAATAATATAAAGAAAAAGTATTAATACAAAGAAATGCACCAAACAAATATAAGGAAAGCATATCACATGATTGATCTTTCGGATCTGTCAATCTAAGAAGTTCAAAATCAACTCTCCTTTTTTTCAGTTTAAAGTTCAAAATCATTACCACAATCTAAATCATCGAGATTGAAACTTGATTAGTTTTTAATTATGAATGAGATTCTGCATTGATTTACTTTGAAATGATGGAAGATGTCAAATACTTTTTTTTGTCAAATGATAAATTTAGATTAATTAAATATTTCAATACAAAAAGATACTTTGAACACATACTTAGTGAATTAAAGAAAAAAAAACTAGTCACCAGATCGATTCACCGCTTGCTAAACTTCGATTAATGTGGCAATAAGGTGAGGTGTGAGCATATAACATTACTTCCTTTTGACCCTTTTTCTTTTTGTAAATTGGAGTTGTTTTCATATTTTTATGAGTAGGTGAGACTGAAATTGAACAAGACAAACTTGTTCAGGGAAAGATTAAAATTCAAGAAAAGCAGTGAAATCAGGTATCTCAGAATCTCAGATCTAAACAGAACACAACCAGGCGGCAAACAGCTTGATACCAACACTGCAACCACACCACACACCCACCAGTCTCTCTCTCTCTCTCTCTCTCTCTCTCTCTCTCTCTTCCCCTTCCATTGATAATATTTCTCCATTTTTGACTATTGCTTTCTTGGTTGAACATGTTAGCTCTGATTTCTCTGCCATATTCCCCACATGCCCTCAGACCTTCCTCCACCCTTGTTGCATAAAACTTTCCTTTTTCTCCTTTTCCACTTATATATCAGGACACCAGTATACATTTTTTACTACAGAAAGATCTGGGTGTTCATATCTCGGGTCTGAGGATCATAATCTCATCTGGGTACCAATAATTTCAGGATTTTGTTGAAATTTAGCCAAAAGGGTGTCAAAAAATTCTTCAAATCTGCCCAAAATTTGGGGCTTTTTATGATCTTAAGGTACTCTGCAAAGAAGAAGAAAATGGTAGTGGCAGGAAATGGTCTGTTCTACCCAATTCTCGGATTCGTGTCCTGTGTGGCCTTCATCTACTTGTCTTTCGGTAACTTGGGTTCTAATGTTAGCGACGAAAAGAAGTTGAGTTTTGTGGGGAGGAATGGGGCTCAGTTCATGTTGGATGGCAAGGCATTTTACATTAATGGGTGGAATTCTTACTGGTTGATGGATCAAAGTGTGGATGAGTATAGAAAGCCGAGGGTCCGGAAAATTCTGCAAGCCGGTGCGAAAATGGGCCTTACTGTCTGCCGGACTTGGGCGTTTAACGACGGCGAGTACAATGCCCTCCAGATTTCCCCTGGTCACTTCAATGAGGAAGTGTTCAAGGTATTATTCATAATCCATTTATTTTCCCTTTCTTTTGTTTTATATTGCAAATGTTGATAGCTGTTATGTGGGAAACCTTCGGCTTAGGAGTTCATTGAACATAAATTTCGAGACTTTGTTTAATGCGATCGAGTTCTGACCTTCTCTTTGTACTTGTTTGGGTGCTTCAATTTGGGGTTTACCTAAGTGGTGATCGTGTTTTGTCATATCTATACATGAATGTATTATCAGTGAAGGTTTGCAACTGAAGTAGTAAAATTACAGTTCCATATAACTAAGACGGTAAATGATCATTTTTTGCCCAAACTAAATGCAGGTCAGGTCAGGTGATTCCTTGTTAAGAGATTATCTTGCTTTCTGAAAGTGGGATTTACACAAGAAGAGGGTTGAGACAAAGTTTTATATGTTGTGATACTGATTAATGCGTTCAGGAATGTAGCGCAATTGGAAGATCATCAAGTCATATTTAGGGGTTTCTTAACAATAGAGACATAACACAAAATGTTTTGGACAATAATGTAGTAAAATTTACGTATGCTTTCTGCCATATTTTTTCAACTTCTTGGGTTGCACCTAACGAATAATATAGTGGAATTCCCTACATGTTCTATTATTGTTGTTCATAATACATTTTTAAGCCAGGCTAATTGAAAGTGTCCACACTACATGGCATGTACCTATGAATACCATTTATTTTTTACCATTATTTTTGTTATCTTTAGAAGTACCATTTGTTAACGTTCTTTCTCCATATTTTTGTTCTTTGTTATAACAATTTAATTTGGTGACAGGCTTTGGATCATGTCATTGTAGAAGCTAGACAACAGGGCATCAGGCTGCTCCTTTGCTTAGTTAATAACTTGCAAGCATATGGCGGGAAGACTCAGTATGTAAAGTGGGCTTGGGAAGAAGGTGTTGGTTTGAGCGCTTCCAATGATTCCTTTTTCTTCGATCCATCTATTCGCAATTATTTCAAGAACTATGTCAAGGTAATTTTGTTTGTTGCTTTACTTCCCAGGAACAAAATGTTGCACTGCTCTTTGATGATACTGTGATAGCTCAGAGCATCTCCAATGAGCTCCCTAAAAGAGCTCCTAAGTAGAATTTAGGGAGGATTTCAAAAAAATCAACTCCAGTTATGCTCCCTATCCACCTCATAAGATAGGGATTCATCCAGGAGTTCCTAAATATAGGGAGGGAGAAAGGAGCTCGTAGTGGTTCTCTATAATTAATGCTAATTGTTTTAAATAAATAATTAATTCCTATTGGCTAATTATGTAGTCATTATAAGTTATAACTCTCTAAACCAGGGAGTAAGGTTGGAGTACACTTTTTTAGAGAGCTCCTAAAATAACATTTTGACAGTTTTAGCATGATTGGAGATGCTCTCATAATCTTAGATTTTCTTGTTGATGAGTAGAAAACTATTAATAGTATGCCATTGTTACATTTATTATATTTTGAAATGAAGAAACAAAATATGGTATGAGGTTAAACTTTGGGAGTCCCAATATTTCATAGGATACTTCAGTTCACCCAGAAGTATTTATGTTGCCATGAAGGCAGGGTACGGGGACAAAGTTTTGCTGCCAAGATGACGTACTAAACACTACTAGGTTTACTTGCTGAACATTTGGTCACACATAATGTAACGTAAGCTTTTTGGTACTAGGCATAACAAGTAAGGCTGCAAAACCTCTGAATATCATGATCAATTGGAAAGATTGTACTAAATCTCCATTTGGATCTCGTACAGAGTCATGTGGTTAGAAGGACTTGAAATATCTTTCATTCATTGATCTTTCTAGCTTTCTTATCCTTCCCTTTCCCCTGTTCCTACTAAGATACAAATGGAAGGATCTATCTGAGTGCCATATTTTTTAACTCATGATCACATGAAGTTGAGGAAAATTATGAATTTTAAAACACCGAAGCATTAACTGGATTGTGGCATTTAAGATTTATGAGATACAGGTGATGTCTCTGGATTTTGGTAGCCATTTGTAAATATAACATTATACAGGGCATGTTTAACTATTGTGGATTCTAAAGTGTTTGATTGTTATGAGTTAAATGATTTTGTACCTTGCTGGTATCCTGAATAGGCCATTACTTCTCCTTCAGTGATTTGTTTCTCTGAAATAACAGAAACCGCAAGAATCTTTGTTTTAATCAATTTTGGTGCTGTGATGATTTATAAGTTTATAACCAATTCTAATTCATTTCCTTTTTTCCTCCAGACTATCCTAACAAGGAAGAATACGCTCAATGGAATTGAGTATAGAAATGATCCTACCATTTTCGCGTGGGAATTAATAAATGAACCTCGTTGCATAACTGATGCTTCAGGCGACACTCTCCAAGTATGTTTTCAACTATTGAGACTGCCTTCTTACAATTATGAATAAATAAGAATAAATGTACTAATTCAAACTGCCACGAGATCTTTTCATTTGCTTATATGCATTTTATATATCCTTCTACGAGAATTAAATTAAATTTAATTTAATTTTTTGTGGAACCAAATTAGGTATGTGTCAAATTTGATGTTTTGTGGGCAAAATAACACAGCTTTTTTCTTTTTAATTTTACTTGTCTTTGTTGCTGATCCAGAGGGATATGATAGGTCGCCTGCATTGGTTGTGCCTACCAGAGAAGGGAATGGTGTCCAGTCCAGTTTAGTAGGAATTACTTGGTTTTGCATGATGGATTCCTTGCTTTCCCAGAAATACTCTCATTTCCCCTGAAATTCAGTCAGAAATATATTAGATTTTAGACACCACTATTCTAGTGGAACCATCATTTAACTTGCTTGGGATTTCTTTGTGATTTTCCCTATTAGGAAAATAATAGGAATTAGTAGAGATTAGAAAACTACTGCTACCAATTTTTCTTTCTCTTACCTTGGGCAAAGAGCTTCGTATTCTAATAATTCAACGGTTCTTAATTATTATATTTTCCTTCCAAGTTAAGGGGTTGTTATCTTAAATATTTATTATGTGGGTGAGGTGGGGCGGGAGGTGGGGTTGGGGGGGGGGGGGGGTCTCTGTAACCTCTCCTATTAGACCATGAGTTAATTGTATGTTATACTGTTGCAGGATTGGATAGAAGAAATGTCAGCTTTTGTGAAAGCAATTGACAAGAACCACCTACTGACCGTGGGCCTTGAAGGATTTTATGGTCCAAAAAGCCCTAAAAGGTTGACTGCAAATCCGGAAATGTGGGCATCCAGACTTGGATCAGATTTTATTCGCAACTCCAAGATCCCCAATATTGATTTCGCCTCTGTTCATATCTACCCTGACCATTGGTAAGCATTTGCATGTTGATTTACATTGCATGAAATTTCTCAAGTCGATATGAGGGAAATCAGATCTTACCAACTTATTAGAAATCTCATATATATTTGCATGGATGGTCCTTCTCTACATAATCAGATATGCATCTTACATAATGGAGAGGCATGCCGCATATCCCTAACTTGGGTCTTATCAGATCAGCTCACCTGAGCAAACAATCCATGCTAACCCTTGGATCTAAGTCCACCTTTTTTAAAATTCAAATCTTGAAAAAGGACCTTTATTGAAATAAGTGCCATTCTCTAAATCTTTAACTTAGATATGAACGGGTGAGATGTACAGTGATACAACTCGTCATTCATATTTTGAAACGGTTTAAAAGAATGAACTAATTTAATGATATCTGAGGCTTTATTTGGTGGGCTGGTTGGGATAGGTTGTGACCAATTAAAATGGACTTGAGTCCAGTCCTGTTGTGTCAAAATGTGAGATGGACATGACTAGACATGTTGGAATCCACAATAGCATGGGATATCTAACCTATCCTTATACATGGGTAAATAAGTCCTTTCTTACAAGTCCCTGCCAGTCCAATTCTATCCCTAGGGCCCAATCTTATCCAGCCTACCAAACGGACCCTGAGAGAATAATTATAAGCATAGGAACATGTTCATTTTCTCTGTACTTTCAATTCAAATTATTGACTATGTGGATTCGTGATTGAATGTGTGGTCAAATTTAACATGATATCTCTAACTATTTGGCAAGAGTATATTATGTAGTCTATTTTAGATTTTATTCAGTGTTTAGTCATCTCATGTGCTCTTATTTCATTTGTTTCATTCTAGAATGTAATTAGGTCTTTTCTATCTGTTAGTTCAGCGCTCCCAGCCTCATGTCTGTAATAAATTAATTTTGTGAAAGGATGTTTGCCCTTGTACATTCCTTATGGTACATTTAACCAGTACTCACTTCATCCTCACTTTTTGGGTAGGTTCCATGATGAAGAATTTCACGAGAACCTCAAATTTGTCTCCAAGTGGATGCGTTCTCACATTGAAGACGGGAACAATGAACTGAATAAACCTGTCATGTTCACCGAGTATGGATTGTCAAACCAGAACAAGGACTTTGAACCATCTCAGCGTGAGAGGTTTTACAAAACTATTTTAGACGTGATATACAAATCTGCCAAGAAAAACCGGTCTGGAGCAGGTGCTTTAGCCTGGCAGTTTCTCGTTGAAGGAATGGACGAGTATAATGATGAATTTGGGATTGTTCCGTGGAAAAGACCGTCTGAGTATAAGATAATAGTAGAACAATCATGCAGGTTGGCTAGACTCAAGGGACCAACTCAACAACAGCGAAATTTGAAAGACTTGTGTTCGCAAAGAAAGTGAAATGCTTATTTTTTGTCCGCAGAAAAATTCAATTCCTTGGGAGGGTTGGGGTTATATATTTACGGTTTGACGGTGCTTAAAGGAGAGATGCAGGTTCGACTGTGTACTATATTCTTCCCACAGCATATGGAAGATGTAATTTCATCTTGAATGAATTGTAAGTTATAGAAAAAGTTATAATTGTGATGTTATCGAAAGCTTTACGTGATGAAAGACTACAGATTAACAGCCAAAAGAAGTCTTTTGAACTATTGATTAGGTTGCTTTGCTTGTAAGAAATGGTATCTGCAGTCCTGAAACTGTGCTTTAAAGCACTGGATAGGTCTGATAGCTCTCTATGAAAACTCTAGTTCTCTTGTAATGATATCTACAGACTACCGCGGTCTTGATTTTTATCCAACCGCTTTCGTTCTGGTGCGATGTCATCTTCTGAACGTCAATTGATGCAGTTATGCAGCATTTAGCTATGCAATCACACGAAAACGACTTGTCACCGTAAATTATTTTCCCGTGCTCCTATCTCACTCCTGCTTGACTAGTGCATACAGAAGAAACATTAACAGGAGAATGAAGTTTTTCTTCCTCAAATGTTAAAGTTGACCGGTTACACAAAAATTTGGCATAAAACACCGAGCTCCAGCAAAATTTAACATCCCCCGTGCTCCACCCCTAAATCAGAAATTAAGAACATCCACTCAGCCACACGACACAATTGAATATTTGACACAATCCAGTCTTATTATGAAATTGTTGACTTATAACTTCAATCGAGTGCGAACAAGTTAACAATCTTCTTAATGTATGTCGTCGGACGCATAACCCCAATTTAATGAAATGATGGCTAAACACAATTTCTGTCCTGCAATTCAACACCAATAAATAAATATGTACTTTTCTTTCATACATCTGAAATGCAAAGCAAATGACATCAACATGAAGCTACGTTTTGCCAATCTAGGCCAAGTCCTAGTGCCATTTACATTACCAAAGACCTGACTGTCCTCTTTTTCCATGCTGGTTTTACCCTTCAAATTCTTGTCCTTAAAACTCAGTTTATTTACCTCATCTGCCACCTTCAACACAGTCTCAGCAGCCTCATCGTCCTCCGATCTCCGACTATGAGTCCTTTCCGATCTGCCACTCAAACCTGTTCAGGCAGGAATTTCATTGGGGAGGATTCCTGGCTCGAGCACACAACTCTAGGAGTTGGCACTTTGGTTGGTTGTCGGGCTCTTGCTTGTTGAGAGACTGCAAGAGGAGGACATAGTTAGTTCTGAAAGGTGCCTTTATGGGGCCTTAGGTGTAGGCCTTGAGGCTCGCAATCAAAACTAACTAAGTGCTTAAGCATGCCACTGCCATCTCAGTATGGCAGATGTAGAACAAATGTGTTTAAGTCGATTATTTACACCCCAAGTTATTCTGACTTCTTGTTATCAAAGGATTGTTATAGATGGGTTAAGTCTACATTAAGTTCTTTTCTGTGCCTTGAGATCAAGGACTTTTAGTTCGTTATCTTGTATGCTTTTAAAGGGTGGTAGTCCATATCTGACTAAGCCATTTGTTTAGTTCCCATTCAGTCTTTTATGACAATAAAACCACTAAGTGAACCAGATCTGAGAACTAATGGAACTTTTGATCATCAAATGACTGGAAATGACTTGAATACATATTGTAGAACACATCATAATACCAGATTTATTAATTGAAAGACAAGACAAAGAGAGTCGGGCAAGATTTCACCTTGTCGGGCAAGGTTGAATGTCTTACAACCTCTTTTCTTTGTGGTTACAGAGGGTTGTGTGCTAAAGTAAACAAGTTTACACGAGGGGATCGATACTACGACATCTAGAGAAGGTAGCAGAGCTTTTACACCGGACAAAAGATATCCTCCTAAGGGAACTATTGCTAAACAAGGGTTGGAATGTATGAATTGGCTTGAGAGAAGAGTTTGTGTGCTTGTTTGTTTGATTGGCTGAGTGTCATTGTCTCTAGGCCCTGTCTTTCCTTTTATAGGCATTTTGTCTTGGCTGTTGCAGGCTTTGCCCGAAAGCACTTCAGCGAGTCATCATCTTTTTTACATGTCCTGCCATTTAGAAAGTGCTTTTGGGCTGATAGTAGGTTGATTTCCATTGGTTGTCACTTCTCTTGTAAGCACATAGCCTTTGCATAAATAAGGAGCCGTTATATTGCCTTGAGATGGATGGCTGGGCTTGGTGCTGGACCTCGGACAAGTCTCCTCATGTTAGTTCATTTGGGCTTTCTTTTCTTTAAGTCCAAAGTTCAAATATTAACCCAAACAGTGCCTCCTTTAATCATTGTTGAGTTTGCAGCCTAAGACGCTAATAATGATTAAATAGCCACCCACACCTTCACTCGGGACTTGCACCGTTTCAAATCAACCATTGGTTAACAAGAACCTTTGCACTAACCCACGAACTCTGCCATTAATTAACTGCCTCATTAGATAACCCCCATTCAAACCCTTCAGCTAAATACCTTAATCTTTCCAAGCTTTCGAATTTCCAGGATCCCAGATCCCTTAGATTCTCCATAATTCTCTTATTCTCCATTTTTTCTCTTTATTTTCAATCACCTTTTTTTCTCATTCATCCTTTAAACTCACCCAATAGCCCCAAAAACTACTCAAACTCAATCCTCTTACGAATCTGGTAAGGGTATCATTACCATGCGCCGTCTACTCAACGGTCTTCATCGCCCTCGGGCAGACCTGCATACTGAACTTTTCTTTGAAGAAGATAGGGTGCATTCCTTAGGACTTGCATGGACTTCTCGGATCCCAACTGTAGTAGAGACCAACATGCCTAAGGACAATTGGTTCACCCCGAACCCATTCTTTGCCGAGTCATGCATTTCTTCATCTATGTGGTCGCAACATCGTCGCAGCTTTTCTTTGATGAATGAACCAGCTTGGGTTCAGTGGATAAACGAGCTTGAGCCAACCTTCAAAAGGAAATGGATGAACAATGGCATCTATGAGCTGATAATGCTTTCAAAGATTACCGTGGTTGCTAGGCCCAAGATACTCACTACCACCTTTCTCTTCTGGAATTCGGGCATAAATACCTTTGATTTCAGGATGGGACCTATGTTCCCAACTATTCTAGATATGGCATAAGTCTTGGGGCTAAGGCCCTCGGGCAGAATCATGGATGTTACTCATGACTGGGCTCCCTATTCTCGTCCGCCCGCTGAAAGTTCAGGCTCCTTTGTTTCCCCACTCCAGCTGGAATACAATTCTACAACTTTCAAGAGTTATAAGACCTTTTTTGAGGGTTTTTATCCCTTTTGTGAAGAAGAGTTTTGGTGTAGACTCCCCACATGCCAACATAGATCAAGAGCATATGTACTTCTTTCTGTAATGGCTTAATAAGCACGTCTTCCCAAATAAATCCAAGGGAGTAAAGTTCGAATTGATCCCTTTAGTGGAAGCTCTTCATAATTTCAACGATGTCGCCACGAGCCCATTTCTCCTCTCTCATCTCTACCATCTTCTCTTTGAGATGACTCGGGGAGAACTGTTTGAAACCAACCTTAATGGACCGATCTAGATGGTCCAATTATGGTTGCAATGGTACTTCCCAGAACTTTGGGCAGCTAACTTGGAGTTTCGAGAAGGTATGGCCCCTGCCCGAATCCTAGTTGAAGCTTCTCCCACCGATCATTCCACATTTGCCTGCTTCTATTTTTTCAGAGTTTGGAGGACTCAGTTAGCTTGGAGTGGGGAGCTTTAATTTTAAGAAGATATCCTTGGTTTTCTGACCAAGCCTTCCAAGATGCACTCGTGGAAGATGCTAATCCTTAATGCAATGAGAGATTCATCAACTGTATCGAATCAAGGGACATAGCCTAGGGAGTTCGCAGTGATCGCTACGAACGTGGGCTGGAAGTTTATCACCCGAACTTCTGCAATAGGCAATTAGGCTTCAGGCATGTCATTCCCATTCCATTTTTTGATTATGTGTAGTATGGCACTTTGTACTGCCTCCAATCTCCTCAAGATGACACTTTCCGAGCCGCCCGACGTAGTCTTGAGGTTATGAGTCTGAAAGCCTATAGCTCTTAATTTTGAGTGTTCTTCAACTTTCTCCACTTGGTGGGAGGCTAAGTGGATCAAGAAATATGGAGGAGATATGCGAGAAGCTCATGACTGTCTCTTTAACCAACTCTCTCTCAAATTTTATCCTAGCTCAGGTAAGCTTATGGTCTATCAAATGAACCAGCTTCTTCTTATAGGTACCTCTTGTTTCTTCAATTTGTATTTTATGAATATCTCATAAATGTGTCCTCATTTGACCCTTTATTCATCTTTTTAAACTTATAGCCCAAGGGAATGTTGAAACAGCAGACATTGGGTCAGAGGAAGAAGTTGCCGACTCGCTGATCCTTCAAGAGGCTGCAGTTGAGGCTAAGAGGCAGGATGCTGGAAAAGGTGGGGATATCTCTACATTGTTTTGAGACTCAAAGGCTGAGGAAGAGCTTGAAACAGGAACTTAGGTACCTTATCGGGCTAGGGTAATAATGGTGGAGACTTCTGGATCCGAGTCCAAGAAACAGCCTGAGCCTGAACAGACAACTCCCATTAGGAAGAGAACAAGAGCTCAAACTTCCAAGATTTCGAAAACCACCACCACTTTTACTGCTACTGCACCTGTAGTGGGTATGAAGAAACAAATAGCTTCCAGTAAGTGAATCTTGTTTCAACCCTTCGCTCTGATTTGTCTTTTGTGTTTTAGGAACCAATAACTTTGTTTTCTTTGAATTTAGGATTCCGAGCAACCAAGAAACCTATAGTTGCTTCAAAGGATGAGTCATTGGGCGTGGAAATACGTCGGAAGGCTAGAGAGCTGTGATATATTGCCCTTAAAGAGTTGGAGGTATAGCTTATTTCTCAAGTTACTTTTCAAACCTCTTTTTTATTTTTATTTTTTATTCTTCTTTCTTTCTTTTCCTGATTGAATGGAATAGGAAATTAGGGCAGAAAAGATCCCACCGCCTGAGGTTTCTTCTCCTTTAGCCCGATCAAGGCAAGCTTCTCTTTCTCGAGCAAAATCCCCAAAGGTACCCCTCCCCTTACTCTTGAATCCTTAATCTTCCAACTTCTTCTAAGGATTAACCTTTTTCTCTTTTATAGGCTACAATTGAGGTGGCTGCCCCTTTATTCGGGCAAGGCTCTATTCCTTTGATGGTGACTCCCACTTCTTAGTTTGATCATTCAATTGGGAAGATGATGCATTTCGTGGAGGATGACAATAGCTCAGTAAGTGCCCACTTTTAACACTTTTATGCTGAGAATCCTTTCTCTTTGTACTTATCATCTTCTATTCATTCCAGCCTTCCCCAACACAGGGGTTCCACCAAATACCAACTTTTACCTTTGGGGAGCCTAGTCCT